TGCTTTAGTTTTGTCGAAGATTTCACGGATGTAGCAGAGGGACCACCAAAAAAGTTAATGTTGCCATAATAAGATCTATGAGATGAAGCAAGAAGAGTTTCAAGTTCCTCATGATAAGAAATCGAATAACCTTGAATACCACAAGGACCATTATCCCATACCAGCAATTTGAACTACTAATGAACTCAAGATTTATGAACAGGAAGAATGCTCCAGTTTACTTTTACCATTTATAAGTTTAGTTAATAGTTTTAAAACAATTCATACGAACAGTTTAATAAATTAATGAGGAAAGAAATCCTTTGAAACGTTAAAAGAAAATACTTTTTTCCAAAACATACAGCAAGTTGTGGAGAAAGTGGAGACAATCGTCTCAAGAACATCCACATTTAAGCTGAAAACCCAGATTTCAGGTTTGTTTCCACTTTAGCCAATGGATAAAGACAGACAACATGGGTGGATAAATTTATGGCTGAATGAGTTCACTGCAGTGAAATGAGATTATCCACTTTAGATCTGAGAATAACCATTCAGATGGCTTTCTTAAATGCAATTTAGGCTTCCATGTACCTATGCACCAGCTTCTAGTGATTTGTGTATACAAAGTAACTAAAAGGCTAATGAATGCTGATCCTTATCTCAAAGGTTTCAAAGTAAGGGAGCAATCTTAAGTTTAGAGACAGGCCATTTAAAGGATGAGATCAAGAGGTATACTACTTTTTTCATGAAACTACTTCTCATGAAAGAATATGGATGGTAGGTCAAATGGAAGTTTCAGAAAGAAACTGATTATTTTTGTTGGGCAAGGATAAATGGGAATGTGGAACAATGGTGGGTAACTGAAACTGAACTACAACTAGTCATCATCCAACAGCATGGTGGTGGAGAACTGAAGGTCTTAAAAATCTAGTTCTGTTCTTGGGATCAAGACACACTTAAAAGTGGCATGTAGATATTGTTCTGATAGCTATTATATTTTATACAGGACAAATTTGTGAATGGCTATATTTAAGACTAGATGCTCTTATTGGAACAAAAGTAAGGCTTAGAATTATAGAGTCATACAGCACAGCATTAGGTAGGAATCTGCTCATCTTCCAGATACTCAGAGCCATGAGCTGATGTTCACCATCAATGACCTATGCACTGCACATCAATTGCAGCTGTAGGTCATTGGAATTCATACCAGCACCCAATCTCTCATTCATGCTGTGGATGCCATGTTTAAATCTTAGTTGCACACAATGTCAATGTCAAATGCTGCTTGCTTGGTCTGAAGTAGCCATTCTGGTTAGTGTGGAGTCCACGGACCATAGAAGCATGCAGCAATGCCACTAAAAGGTCAGTGGCCTTTTTTGCTATGCAACCTCACACCCACATCCCCCAAAGGCTCACATCCACCATCAAATTGCTAATCTTTCTTGCTTTGCACGTTTCTTACTCACTTTGGCACCTCACCATCCTTCTGGGCCAGGACCTTGACTAACCAGTCCCTCATCTGTTAACTGCTGCCAAACCTTTCAAGATGCCTGGAGAGATACTGTGAGGATCCAACTAAGCACAAAGTAAATAAGCGATAAGAAGGCAAGGTGAGAGTCAGAGATGCATCCTGTTTCAGTGCACAAGATGGGTGCCTTTCCCTGTGCACAAAGCAGCAGCATTGCAATGTAAAGGTGTCTGTGAGCTCCAAACTGCACATCTGAAGTGGTAATAAGTATTACAATTGAGTTGGAGATGTGCCATGATGACACATTGAGCCCAGTGCTTGGCTGACATCAGCCTTTATGGATGGATGACACAGGTGGTTGCTGTCCATTGTGTCCCTCAGGGTATTGAGGGATGCTAGAGACCCAGAGAAGACACAAGTGAGCTGCAGTTGCCAGGCACTCGCTCAGACTTTATTGTCAGGATTTGTCATCATCTAGCTTCTCTTGACTGCCTGGGAAAATTTCAAACTGCAAATAAATGAGATGAGAGATTTGGTAATGAGATGTCAATGCGTGTAAAAGGCCCCTCACTGCTCGCTAGCAAGATTTTCATCGAGCCATCAAAATCTGGGTGGAAAATTGGATACTTTGTTTCTTTGTCAAGAATCTAATTTTTCCATTTGCTATGTTTCCCCAGTTAATGTCCTTGTGCCCACACCATTCAGGACCTGACAAAATTCAACCCATTGACTCTGACTCTTGTATTTAACCCCTTTCCTTCATCATACCACCAGCCACGTAGGTCCCACCCCCTGAATTCCTAAACACCTTCACCTCTCCGCTTTGAACTGCCTCTTTAAAACATCTCACTTTATCTAAAGTACCCATCACTAGCTTGGTACTCAATATTCAAAATCCCCCATGAATATCCTTGGTACATTGTTGAACATTAAAAGCAATGTATAAATTTTATTTTAGCAAGGCATTTGAAAAGGTTCCCCATGGTAGGCTCATTCAAAAAGTTTTTGAGGCATGGGATTCAGGGAAATTTGGCCGTCTGGATACAGAATTGGCTGACCAATAGAAGACAATAGGGTGGTGGTAGATGGAAAGTATTCAGCCTGGAGCTCGGTGACCAGTGGTGTTCCGCAGGGATTTGTTCTGGGAGCTCAGCTCTTTGTGATCTTTATAAATGACTTGGATGAGGAAGTGGAAGGGTGGGTTAGTAATTTTGCCGATGACACAAAGGTTGGTGGAGTTGTGGATAGTGTGGAGGGCTGTTGTAGGTTGCAACGGGATATAGACAGGATGCAGAGCTGGGCAAAGAAGTGGCAGATGGAATTCAACCCGGAAAAGTGTGAAGTGATTCATTTTGGAAGGTCGAATTTGAATGCAGAATACAGGGATAATGGCAGGATTCTTGGCAGTGTGGAGGAACAGAGGGATCTTGGGGTCCACGTCCATAGATCCCTCAAAGTTGCCACCCAAGTTGATAGGGTTATTAAGAAGGCGTGTGTTGGCTTTCATTGGCAGGGGAATTGAGTTGAAGAGCCTCGAGGTTATGCTGCAGCTCTATAAAACCTTGTTTAGACCACACTTGTAATATTGTGTTCAATTCTGGTCGCCTCATTATAGGAAGAAATTGGAAGCTTTAGAGAGGGTGCAGAGGAGATTTACCAGGATGCTGCCTGGATTGGAGGACAGGTCTTATGAGGAAAGGCTGAGGGAGCTATGGCTTTTCTCACTGGATCGAAGAAGGATGAGAGGTGACTTGATAGAGGTTTACAAGAAATTGAGAGGCATAGATAGGTTGGATAGCCAGAGACTTTTTCCTAGGGCGGAAATGACTATTATGAGGGGGCATAACTTTAAGGTGATTGGAGGAAGGTATGGGGAGATGTCAGAGGTAGGTTCTTTACACAGAGTGGTGGGTGCGTGGAATGCGCTGCCAGCAGTGGTAGTGGAGTCAGATATATTAGGGACATTTAAGTGACTCTTGGATAGGTATGTGGATGATAGTAAAATGTAGGGTATGCACGGTAGTTTGATCTTAGAGTAGGATAATAGGTCAGCACAACATCGTGGGCCGAAGGGCCTGTACTGTGTTGTACTGTTCTATGTAAATGCAAGTTTTTAATTTAATCTATAAAGTTACTTCACTCATTAATTTATTGCACATGAATTATTAGAGAATTACTAATAATTATTGGTTTAAAATAGTAGATAATATTGTTTAGTTTAGTTGTAATAATTTAATAGCCTACAATAATGGCTTGAGCCTTGGGCTTTACAATGAACGAAAATATTATTCATCAATCATATCAAATTCCAGGAAACTGCTTTGAAGCAGATACTTACCAATAGTGTAGTGAAAATTACCTTGTAATGCTGGAAGGTTCAGTGGGTGGAAAACCAAACCCATTGACATGAAAAACTCCATCGTCATACCATCCTGTAAAAGAATTCTTATAATAACTGCCATTTCCAGAGTTAAAATTGATCATAAGTTTACCAAAAAGGTTTTATTAATAATATATAAAACTGAGTAACCAGATTCTGTCTTGTCCTGGCCAACATTCAACCCTCAATTTGAAAAACAGATTATCTGGTCACTGATTACTATTTGAGGAACCTTGCACAAATTGTCTGCCACTTTTCCAAACAACAGGGTCTACCTTTTAGAAGTACTTCTTTGATCAAAGGTACTTTGGGATATTCTGAAGGTTCCAAAGATACCATATAGGTGCAAGTTCTTGCTTTATTGCAATACTTTTCTGACAAATAGTCCCCACGACTAGGATCCAGTCTGTGCAATTGCAATGACAGCAAAGTTCGTAAGTACCTTTTTAAAATCAATTAAATTGACCACTACTTAAGCAAAACTATTAAAATTCAAGAACTAAAATGGTTTATGATGCTTCATACCATAGGTTATTAAATTAATAATAATTATTATTATTATGGATGGAAAAACAAAGAAGTCTCATAATGCAATGACATTTGGTGACAGAAATTTGCTGAAAGCACTGTCGAGCTAAAACAAAAAATTCTTCATTACCTTCCGCAAGAACGAAGCAGGATTCTGTATATAAGCCACTATGAAACTGGTGCTCCATGGTTAAAGAAATTCAGGATAAATTACAGAAATGCCTCTTAATATATAACATTGATGGAAAGCGCCCATGGAAGGTGACTTTCTAACACAATGCTTTGATCATCTGGAGGAGAATCTGAATGACGGATACATTTTCTTTTAAAATAGGGACAATGTAATAAAAAAGCAAGTCGCTTCAGGTCATAATTGTGTTAATGATATGCTCAATGCAAACACAGAGTTTCAATCACCATCGGGAACAATTCTCCATTGGTTCTGGTACCAAACATTGTATGCAGTTGATTTGAAGTGCAATAGGAAAATTTAGCTTTTTATGTCTTTTATATATATTTTCTTTCCATTCATTCTCAGGAGAACCATTATCTTGTTAAAATTTGTAATACCATTCTAAGACTTCTAACAACCCTCAGTTCCACATCCATTAAATGTTTCCTTTTAGTTCCTGCAGCTATGTATCACAGAATTGTTACAATGCAGGAGAAAGGCATTCGGCCCAATTTATATTCACTGGTTCTGAGTGAGCATCATCATTTTACTTCATTCTCCCCCTCTCCGCCCATAACTCTGTACTCTTACACATCACTTTGTTCTCAATTGTTGACGTTTAGTCTTACTGCACAAACTACCACTCCAACATTTAATATAAATCTTATAAAAGATTTCATAAAAATAGAACTCCTTCACTCTATTGTTTCTCATTCTCAAATCCGATAATATCAATCTATTTTACTTTCTCTTTTCAACTGCTTCAGAGTTATCTGTTGAATGAGATTATACTTCACTTTTCACCTGAATTTACATGAGTTCTAAACTGCATAGTTGAAACACATAGAAGGATATGGCTTTGCTAAGGTTGAGTTGAACAGTTCCAGTTGGATCTTCAAGAAAATATTTTCCCTGAAATGGTAAATATAACTACATGATCATTCAGCATTATCAACACTGACAAAAAGCTTCATTTCAGATTTTGGTTGCATTGAACTTCTTTACAGAGTTATAGAGTCACACAGCATGGAAACAGACCATTCGGTCCAAACAGTCCTCACCAACCATGTTCCCAAACTAAACTAGTCCCACCCGCCTGCGCTTGGCCCATATCCCTCCAAACCTTTTCTATTCATGAATTTATCCAAATCTGTTTTAAACCTGCATCCACTACTTTCTCACAGTTCATTCCACATATGAAGCAGTCTCTGTGTAAAAAAGTTGCCTCTCATGTTCTTTTTAAATCTTTCTCCTCTCACCTTAAAAATATTTCCCCCTAATTTTGAACCCATCCACCCTAGGGAAAAGACCTTTGCCATTCACCTTATTTTGATTCTGACAATTTTTTTAAAAAGACAAAAGGTGGCAAGTAATAGTGATAAGTATTAGAATTTTCTCTTAAATCCAACTCTCCTGCCCCATGGCGCGGGTACAATATTAGAAAGTATCAATCCCACTACTAATGCATTACACTTTTTGTAGTCATGAAGTGAATGTTTGAGAGTCAAGAAACGAACTCGGACCACTTCTCGCATATGATGCACAATTCCAACACAGATTAATTAATTAATCTGCAGGAGCCCTCCACAACTTTCAGAGATGCTGAGGACAACAGCAGTGTTTCCTCCAGCAAGTTTCGATAGTTAACTTAATACAGGCCAAGTATCTTGAGATGCCATTACCTTGTACAATTCAACATTATTTAGAACTTTAAGCAATTTCACTGCCATTTCATTTAAAATATCCAAGTTCCACCGCATCAATTCAAAATTGAAAAAATGTTGATAAAATTCAGAAACATCTGTACGAGATTTCACCATAAAAGCAATTCAATAGTGAATTTTTCAAGTGCACAATTAATTTATCACTTCACATCTGCCGCACCATTGTTCATTTTATTGTTCTCAGAATACTGGCTGAGAAAAACTGCTGTATTTCAGTGTAACCTGCAGCCAGGTAACCTAGGTATCAAACTCTTAATTACTAAGCTTACCTCTTTAAGTTGTGTTATCATCCCCAGAACAATGACTTCTCCAACCTTTGATGTGCTACCAAGGAGCATTTCTATAGTTTTTAACTAAAATAAAGAAGAAAGTATGAAGACTCAACATTACAGGTATAAAATGTCTTCTTCTTTACTCTGTATTGTGGAATTACATGAAGACCATCTCACACCAGCAGTTTAAAAGTAGCTTTAAATTAATTGCATTTGATTTACTGCAAAATGATACCCCCACATTGCCTTGCCCATATTTTACCAATTGAGGAAGCAGAAATTGCAGAATAATGTCATCATTTTCAAATTACTATATCACTTTTCTTTGTAAATGCTGGAAAGGATCAACATGAAAATACTTGTCAGTCCACCTAATGCAAGATCATTGATTTGTGGTCATCATGTGATAGTAAACAAGTTTTAAAAATTACCACTAGCACCCTTTGTTGAGTGAATTTTTTATGGCATACAATCCTAAACTGAATATTGTCATATATGGCCTCCCACCAGAAAAAGGCAAGCTCCTTGGTTCCCATCTCAGGATCTTACTCAAGATGGTAGTTAACTGAAACAGAAGGCATGAAATGTTCCAATGCCATTTCCAATTTGCTCCCACCCTATTTATGCTAGAAATGTGCAAAAAGAAATGGCAAAATAGATTGAGAAAAATTACAGAGATGGACAAACAAAAATATTTATAAGAAACTTAAAATTTATTTGCCTTTTATCCATAAGAGGTAACACAGTCCAACTGACAAAGGCAATTAAACATTTGTATTTGGAAGACAACTATTGACAAACATGTGACACCTTACTTGAAATTTATTTCTGTTCTCATCGGGATGTGATCCTGTCACAGGAGGTGTAAATAATTCATGTCTATGTGTTCGCTGTAAAATAAAGTATTAGTATATGAGACAAGTCGCTTGTCTATTCTACAGATACTCAAGCATTTAAAAAAGTTCTGAATAACACCTCCATAAATACAATTTATGTTAAATGGAAATCATAACCCTTCCCAAGTCTCTCCCTACAAATTAATATAGACAAATTAGTGTAGGGCCACTTTACCTTCTCTGGGTTGTATGATTCTACATAGTGAATCTACCCTTTCCTTTGAAACGTCAAACTTATTCAATAACACTGGTATTCTATAGTAATTCAGGACTTGGATGAGAATGCTAAAACCGTAGAAAATATCTACAACTTGCTTTGTCGAAGTAATCTTGTTTATATATGCACAAAACAGATTTAAAACAAATAATCTTAAAGCCAAAATATATTGCTGCAATGAATAATGTCATTTTATAAAACTTGGTTCCCACAATAATGAGTCACATTTTTCCTGTTATCCATAATAAATAAAGTCTTCATAAAACTGAAAGAATTTGGACCCACTCTGCAATTAAGATTTTACATTTAACTGAAGTAAGTCTATGGTTGAATATTTTCCATAAATTTTCAAAGTGTGGGGGCCAAGCATGTCAGATGGCAACCAATACACCATTCTGATCAGTGAGATAACTCAACTGATTGGCTCTTGAGCTGAACGATGGTAATCAAGACCTGAACACCGATGACCCAAAACACCAGATGCTTCAGGTCAATCATTGGTTGTCAGCTTCTGGATTCTAAAGTCAGGCAGTCAAGGCCTTAAGGGATCCAGCAGCCAGAAGGCAAGATAATTTCTCACTCTTTTCATGGAGTGGATCTCGCACGCCACTCACTGCTACCACCTGTACCTCCAGCTGCCTCCAGATTGGGGCAATTGAAGACCCTCCATCACTTAACTTGGCAGTCAGAATGCCAGGATTTCCCAAACAGGAAACAAACCACCTTTCTCACTTGCCAGGGCAGCAGGTAATTGGAGAAATGGCTTGTTGAGGCCCTTAAGTAGCTATTAATTGACCACTTAAGGACCTTAATTGCCTGCACATTGAGAAAATTGCCAATGGACCTTATCGCCCAAATTACAGAAGTAGCGAGAAGGGGTTGAATTTCTGACGAGGCAACTTGCCCAATTACATCTCCTTCTCGCCAATTCCAGATCGGCAAAAATCAGGCCCTATATTTTTAAATAAGTGAGATAAAGTATAATTTGCCATACTGAACCTGGAATATACATAAACATTATCTCTAGTTCTCTATCCTTCTGTGCACAAACACACTCTTTCACAAAGTGCTAGAACTGCACACATTGAAGTTATTTATTTTCAAATTATATTCAGCCCTGAATTACAAAAAAAAGTTATGAAATAAAGAGATTATTTCCACACGAAGATTTATTTTTCCCTCTCCTTTACCTGTTGCATAATAGTGTAGCGTTCACAAAATAGTTCAGCTTTGTTTCTGGCAGTTCCAAACAGACAAGGTGCACTACGATCTGTCATTGCAAGACTGCAGTATATAAACAAGATTTTACTTGAAATGCATTTCATTAAATAAATCAATTTATTTCACATATGCTTTTCCACTTCACAAGGAAAATAACAATCTGGCACACAGGAACAGTGATAAAATTAACCAAATTAGCATCTCAATATTTTACATTCCATTCTTGTTCACCAAGAATGTTTTATTTATTTTGAAAACACTTCTGCCATTGCATGAATAATTGGATTCAACCAGTGTCTGGAAGTCTAACGGTTTTAGTTTTCATCTTGTATGAATGTTGAATATCTCTTCTCATTCATATTAGCTATCACGCTGTTCTCACCTCCTTCCGTGCTATAAAGAATATCAGTACCCATCTACATTGAGAGATATGCAACAAAGAGAGAAAACTTCACAGCTTATTAATTGAATTAGCTACTGTATTTGAAATCAAGGAGGCAGAATCTAGACTTTGTAACAGTGATGAGTTAGAACACAAAGTTCCAAGAGTAATTGAACTGCTTAACTTCTGCAGTGAATGAAAGATCAAATTTATTCCTGTTTAAAAATACAAAACATTAGATGCTACTATGATATTGTATCTCAAGAATGACCGACACCTTGTATCCTATGTAACCTAAAAGAGGCCAGCTAGAGATGAACAGGATACATAGAATCATAGAATCCCTACACTGTGGAACCTGGCCATTCGGCCCATCGAGATCACACCGATACTCCTAAGAGGTTCCCATCCAGACCCACCCCCTACCCTCTAGCCCTGATTTCCCACGGCTAATCCACCTAACCTGCACATCTTTGGACATAAAGAAGCAGCAAAGAAAATTTTCAAGAAATATTGGCTGAACATGTGAAAGGAAAATGTAAGTTACGATAACTTATCTACAGACAAATATTCCAGTGGTTTATCGAATGTAGTAGTGCCACTACACATATAGAACATAAGAGCTAGGAGCAGGAGTAGGCCGTCCAGCCCTTCAAGCCTGCTCCGCCATTCCATAAGATCATGGCTGATCTTTTCGTGGACTCAGATCCACTTACCCGCGTTCTCACCGTATCCCTTAATTCCTTTATTGTTCAAAAAAAATCTACCTTATCTTTAAAAACATTTACTGAAGTAGCGTCAACTATTCCACTGGGCAAGGAATTCCATAGATTAACAACCCTCTGGGTGAAGAAGTTCCTTCTCAATTCAGTCCTAAATCTGCTCCCTCTAATCTTGAGGCTATGCCCTCTTGTCCTAGCTTCACCTGCCAGTGGAAACATCCTCTCTACTTCTATCTTATCTATTCCCTTCATAATTTTATATGTTTCTGTAAGATCCCCTCTCAATCTTCTGCATTCCAATGAATATAATCCCAATCTACTCAGTCTCTCCTCATAAACCAACCCCCTCAACTCCGGAATCAACCTAGTGAACCTCCTTTGCACCCCCTCCAGTGCCAGTACATCCTTTCTCAAGTAAGGAGACCAAAACTGCACACAGTACTCCAGGTGTGGCCTCACCAGCACCTTGTACAGCTGCAACATAACCTCTGCTTTTAATCTCAATCCCTTTAGCAATGAAGGACAAAATTCCATTTGCCTTCCTAATTACTTGTTGTACCTGCAAACCTACCTTCTGTGATTCATGCACAAGGACACCCAGGTCCCTCTGCATAGCAGCATGCTGCAACTTTTTACCATTCAAGGAGTTTTTGAAATTATGTGGAAGCAAAGCCCATAAAAATCATAATAAATCTGACCCTTAAAAGAACAATATTTCCAACATAAGTCACACAAATACAAAATTATGAACTGTTTGAACTCCTAAATAAACAGAATTAGTGAAACTCACGGTAAAAATTTCTTCCTTTCTGTATTGTAGATGTAACGAGGAACATCAAATGCACCAATTATGTTGAAGACGTGTTCTCTGTAAAGATAAACACACAATTATCAAGAATAAATTAGCAAAAAATACACCTCTATATTTTGCTGTTATAACTGTTCGAACAGATGAAAATAACATAAATCTTCAGTGGTGACCCGCTGTGGTCTTGCAGAAAAAAATACGCAGCACTCTGTTTCTCTTCTACTCATTTATAATTTACTTAAACTCTGATATTTAATTTTTTATGCTTCACGCAACAGTTCATTGTATTTTTGTTTTTCACTGAAACTTTTATCCTCTTGAGGGCCAGAAACCAGGCAGAAATTATTGCTAGGAGAAAAGTACCTTGATTTCCCCCTTTTATTTGCCAGACATCTGATTGGCATGGAAAATCTCACCATATTTTAAGATATGTCAGCCAGGTGACAAGGCAAACCTAATTGCCACAGTGATGACAGGGTATCTTCATTGTGCTTTAGATGCATTTGTATTGTTGATCTAGCACCAGTCTCCATTTAGAATGTGTACTGGAGGCAAATTTCAGTTTAAAAAAAAGACTGGGAATGAAAGACTGGGTCAGAAAGTGAATTCAGGGAAAGCATTAAGAATGAGAAGCAAGATCAAAGAACTCTGGATTCAAGATGGAGTGATAGAAGTAACAAATTTTACATGGGCCTGCTGGATTATTACAGCCCCAATTAATATGCAACTAAATTTGAGGGCAATGAAAGTCTTAAAATATTAGTGAATGGATATTCCCCACATTAAAAATATTGGACTTTTGTTTAATAGGAGCAGAAATGTGGCATTTCCAAGGTACTTATCAACGTACATAAAAGCTGAAAACTGAGTGAGATTGCCATCCACGATATCTGGTCAATCTAGCACATAAATCTTTAATTTGACCTACATAGTTTCATCACACGTCTGACTGCACTCCTGGACTGCTGCCTCCACCATTGATTGCTCTATCATGTTGCAGTTCACTGAAAAGTATAAACACACACATCAAACATTGTCTTTGCATTGTTTTGTTTCTAGTTTTAAATCTGGATTTTAAAAAAAATGAATACACAGGTATCCAACACACATGAATCCCTATCATATGGTAAAGAATTACAATGTAAACTATTGCAAAATCTACAACTTCAAAATGTTGATGACCACAACCTAAGCTCAGAACAAGTTATTTACCAGGCAGTTCTGCACTCACTGACCAACACGGACTCCTGATCCAAAAATGCTTGTTTTGAAATTCCCATCTGCTTCTTTAAACCCCTCCATTGCTGCACGGCTCTTGATCTCTATAATCTCGTTTGAGATCTTTGCATTCCTCCAATTCTGGCTTAATGTGCATCTCTGATTTTAATTACCCATCACTGGTGACTGTGCCTTCAGCTGCCTAGGCCGAAGCTCTGAGGTTCCTTTCTTAACACTCTCCTGCTTGCTCTCCTCTTTCAAGAAGCTGTTAAAACCTGCCTCATTGACAAACTATTTACTTACCTATCCTAATATTTCATTTATGACCAGGTATCAAATTTTGTTTGATAAAATTTCTACAAAGCATGTCATAACATTTTATTAAAGATGCCATTCAGCCCTTGAGCGTGCTCTGCCATTCAATATGATCAATACTGATCTGAATTCCTCACATCTACTTTCCTGCCACTTTCTCGTAACCTGTGGTTCCTCTATTGATTTATTTCAGCCTTAAATATACACAAAGCTCTGCCCCCACAGATTTCTGTGGCAAGGAGTTCCAAAGACTGTCAACCTTCTAAGAGAAGAAATTCTTCCAATCTCAGTCTTAAATTGACATCACTTTATTCTGAGACCTATGCTTTCTGGTTGTACACTCTCTTCCATGAGGGGAAACTTCCTCTCAGTATTTACCCCGTCAAGCCCCTTAAGGATCGCATGTTTCAATGAGATCATCTCGCATTCTTCTAAACTTCAGTGAGTACAATCCCAACCTGTTTAGCCTTTTCTCATTAGACAATCCATTGATACCAGGGATCATCCTAGTGAACCTTCTCTGAACTGCCTCCGATGAAATGTTCTTTCCTTAAATGAGGAGACCAAAACTGATCACAGTTCCCGGATGTAGTCTCATCAGCATCTTGTATGGTTGACATTCTCATCCTTATATTCAACCTCTTTGAAATAAGGGCGAACATTCCATTAGCCACAGAACAGACATTACTTCCCAGTTAGTACATAGCCCACTTACTAAGTCCAGCTGGGGGCAGGTTGTTAGAGCCTCAACACTGGATTCCGCAAGTGAGTGCGTGGAACCTGTTAGAATCCAATCATTTGCCTATCCTATTTTCACAATTAAAATCCCTGTACAGGTGCACAGAATCCAAAAGCAACTCTGCCTGGGCCAAAAGCACGAATATCCTTCCTAACAATGCTCCAGAATTCTTCTGTAGTCATTGCATGTAGCAGAATATTTTTCCCTTCACAAAGCTGATGCTGAGGATTGAACACTGCTCTACACAAAACTTGAAGCTGATTCACAATAGATTTCAGGGCTTTAATTACTTACGTGGCTGTTTTTCAACTGCATCAATGATACGTTCAATTGCATCTTCAAGGTTCAATTCATCAACTGTCTCAAGAACATCCACGAGAAATTTTGCAGCATTACTGGTCATTGAGAAATAAAATAGTAGATGGTTATGAATCTTTTACAAAGTATTATATGCCATAGTTTATTGTAGTGGGAAACATTTGTTTAGAAAGCAAAAATTAGGAAGTCATCCATGGCATATGCCATTAATTTCCTTTTAAAAGTTATTGTAAGTCAACAAAGCTTCGAACAAATAAGCATAAGTGGTTTCCAAGCTCTCCAAAAAAGTACTTTTCAGACACGCGTTGGACAATGCACAACTGTGGTTCCCAACAAGAATTCTCCCTCAAATATCAGTACACCCCCACAACCCTCAAGCTGAAGCAAATGGCACCCACTAGATAATTCTACCCTAACCCTATTGATGGAGATCAGAAACTAAATTACATGGCAAATCATCTTGTTGCTTCCCATTTTGCATCACTTTGGTACTTTCAGAGCATGTTAGAGTTTCCTGAATCACAAGGTAATGATCTTGGTAGAGATCAGGCACTTTTAAAAATAAACACACATTGATTCTTTTCAGTGTCATGGCAGAAGGCAGGAAGAAAAATTACAAATGAAAGTGGATTATTTTCTATATTTTTGTTTTTAAGTTTGGTCTCTTTTGAAAATGGACAGCCTTGCTGGATTCAAAATAGCTGAAGCTGACCACACAATCATATTTTCAGAAACTTCTGAACGTCATGCAATGTATAGACATTCCAGCTGAAGCGGTCATAACAGACATGAAGACAACTCATCTGCCTCCAGCTAGCTATGGACAAAGGAAGACATCAGCATCCATTTTAACCTAATGGGTGATAATGCTTTTCCAGGAACATCTTCACCTTGCAAGGGCAACTCTGATGAAGGAAGTAAAGCTATTCTCTGCTTGCTTAAATGACCTTGTAATTAGTCTGCTGAAATGGGCCATCAGCACCTGAAAAGCAGCCTAAATTTTTCTGCAAGAAGGAAAACTGCCAGGGTCAGCTGACTAAGAAACTCTCATTGGATACTAATGTGGAAGACGCCCAGATCTTGTAGTATACGTATATGGATTGCTTCAATATCTGAGGAGTTGTGAATGGGAGTACAAATTGCACAATCATCAACAAATATCCAAATATCTGACCTTGTGATAGCGGGAAGGCCATTGATTAATAGCTGTAGATGGTTAGGCCAATGGTACTACTACAAGGAATTCCTGCAATAGTGTCCTGAAGCTGAGATGATTGGCTTGCCACAATCACAACCACCTTCTTTCCCATTAGGTATCATTCTAATCAGTGGAGGATTGTTTCCCTCAATTCCCATTGACTTAATTTTTTTGTTTGCTGGTACAGAACTTGAATATTGTTAAGAAAAGACAATGTTGTTGAAATATTTTATCCAACACTGGCAGATCATGTCAAACAGCATATTCTTTCAGCTGTTCACAACAAATAAGGTATGACTGTGCTTAACCATCTTTGCAAAACTCAAAACAGTATCCAACCACAGATACAATTGTAACAGGATTATTTAGCACATGCTGTCTAGAGTGTGCGTATAATTATGCTGAGAAACCACTAACATTTTCAACTGGGTTCATAGTGTGATACACTTGATCATACTGGAATCTACACATATTAATACATAGAGCCATGTTTAATGCAGACATAAAGATCATGTATACGCACTGCTCCAGTTTCAACTGAACAAAAGAGATGACAACCTTTGTCAGTTTATTTCTCAGGACAATGCTTTGAGAAGAGTCAACCTGTTTGGTTTAAAATTTAAACAAAGCTTGGCAGTTAACCATCAGTCACCATCTAACTGGTGCATCCTCCATGCAAGGCCTCTACCAATCAGAACCGACTTATCAACAAATTCTCGTCTCATACAGCATAAATCTCGTTTTTCCTTTAGGTTGATAACTCTTGCACATTGTCCTGATGAGTGCAAATTAAAAAGTGTCAACAAACTGTATCTTTTTTCAGCAATACTCAAGTTCATTTTTATTAGTCATATATAGTCAAATGCTGCCTTTGTGTCTTGGGACAATGACCCTTTTGTCCATCTTTCAAGTTCAGCTTTTTTGTTTATATGGAGATCACGACTGGAATAAGATCTAGTGACAAGTGGCCTTCATGAAACCAAACCAAGGATCAATGAGTATATTATTGTTATGGAAGTGCTGTTTAACAGATCTGTCCCCAATACCTTCCATTCCTTTGTTGAATTACCCTTGTTTCATATGTCCTTAATTTCTAAATTTATGCATCTTCCCGACACAATTATATGTTAAGGAGCCTAAGAACTGCTGCTATCCATGTTTTCTGTCCCTTGTTGGTGTTGAGCTTCGCCCAAACTGATTTTCCATGGTGGTTTCTCCAAATTGTGATTCTTATCATCCCTTGACTATCTTTTTTCCCTGTCCTTTATTTTAAGGTGAATAATGGGGAAATCTGTGGAAAAACCACACTTAGATTTCCAGAAGGTACTTAATAAAATATGATATCAAAGGCCATTGTAGAAAATAAAAGCTCGTGCTGCAATAGGTTCAATAGATTCCCTAGCTAACAGGAAACAGAGGTCTGTGTAATGGCTGAGGTCTGGAAGCCGGATATGGAACCCCTTATTCCCCTCTCTGTTACAGAGAAATGCTGGGGATCTCTTCCTGCTGCTAGAATTTCATGTGAGACAATCTATTTTACTGAATTTGCCTTTGCCAAGGGTGTATTTACAGGATGTTACTATATTAGAACAATTAATTTAGTAGTAGAATCCTAGAATCCCTACAGTGTGGAAGCAGGCCATTCTGCCCATCAAGTCCACAGTGACCCTCCAAAAAGCATTGCAATAAGATCCACCCCACTACCCCGACCCTGCATTTCCCATGGCCAACTCACCTAGCCTGCACATCCCTGGACACAATGGGCAATTTAGCATGGCTGATTCACCTAACAGGCACATCTTTGGACTTTGGAAGGAAATGCACAAAGACACAGGGAGAATGTGCAAACTCCACACAGACAGACACCCAAGGGTGGATGCAAACCCAGGTCCCTGGCGCTGTGAGGCAGCAGTGCTAACCACTGAGCCACTATGCTCCCCCTAGTAGTTAATGTCTGTATCACTTTAAGAATTTTGTTAGTTACAGTTAAGCCAATTAATTTATTTTTATTTTGACTGTAGTTTAACCGTAGTGTAAAAGTAAAGCATGTTTTGCTTAAAGTCAAACAGTTTGATGAATCGAATTGCGTCTGAAACACAATGCCTTACACTTACCTTTAAAATATGGAAATGTTAGGATTACGCTATTTTCTTAATATATTTTGAGAGGGTCTGGCCTCACCAGGGTAGTGTGCTAGAAATCAAGCCCTGTTATTCCCACAGTTGTCACAAAAGGTAATGAAATCACACCAATTTATCTGTTTCTTTTTTAAGATCTATTTGATGGAAAGTACAGACCAGATTTCTGCACTTAACAAGAATTACCATTTATTACAAATAATTTCTAGCTACAGGTAAACAAAAAGGATAAATGAACATAAAACTCCATTAGTTAGAACTCTAAACTCCTCCTCCTCCTTCATAAAACATTCCTGGCACACACATACAGACTGACACAGAGAATGTTGCGTTATGTTTGGAGTGATAAACTGGCAAGGTAGTTCACTGGACCCTCTCCATTTAGTGGCATTTAAATAGACACATGAAGAGGCTGGGAATAGAGGAATATGGACCACATGCAGGCAGATGAGAAGTTTAGAAAAGCATCATGGTCAGCACAAACATGATGGGCCAAAGGGCCCATTCCTATGCTGTACTGTTCTATATTTCACTGGATTCGCTGAGATGATCCTTTTGACATGCCAAGACTTGCTGTTCAGCAATCTCTCTCTTCTCCAGGTACTTACACTTGCCTGCAAGAGGCAGAGAGCAACTGGCTCATAACTCAAAGTCCGGAACAAAAGCAGAAGTTGCTGGAAAAGCTCAGCAGGTCTGGCAGCATCAGTGAAGAAAAAAAAATCAGAGTTAACGTTTTGGGTCCGGTGACCCTTCCTCATAACTCAAAGTCTCTGACTTGTCAGTTAGAAGCAATAACTGACAGTAATTGGTGAGGGACAATAAACTGGCTTTCTTCAGGCTTTAGGTGTTTCTTCCTACTGCAAAGAAGAAGACAGCACCTTCCTTCTGCAGGTTCAAAGGCTTCTGCTATCTTGTTTACACTCACAAGATGCTCACCTGCCTGGGAGCAAATCACAGTTGTTGACAGGAAGAAGTCCTTTGTCATCGACAACTGGTCACTACTTCACAGATTAACTAATTGTTACCAGCCAAATCTCATTTGTACACACTCACTGGTTCCCGCTCACCTGCAAATAAACCTCCCCATTGGTTGAACAAGCAACAGTGTAAACATCACTAACAAGTGTTGGTACTTTGCTCTAAAAAAATGCAGCAATCCCTTCCGCAATCCTTCGTTTTCAAAAACCCCCTTTCCCCACTTGTGTCCACAAAATACAGAAAAATAAAAATATACAGTCTTTACAGTAGTAGGATGACCAAATCCCCATCGAGAGGTAGGTGCTGCTGTCACAGCTATGGGGCACGACCCTGGAGGAATGAGCTCCTGAAAAAGATTGTTTGCAGTCATAGGTGTCACATCCCAGTGGGTCTGCTACTATCAGCTTGAGGACTCAACGGGTCTCTACATCTTAACCCACAACTCAAAGATTCTAGTGGTATCCCCACCCTGACTTCAAGTGGGTCCTTCATTGGTTTAATTGGCTACATTTTGCTAGCCAAACTGGTAGCTAGTGTCACAAAAACCTTGCCTGCAGCAAAAGTGTTCAAAGATAGAAACACGTCCCACCTCGGGACCAATATCCTCAAAGCCAGAAACTTTTAGCCCTTTGTTACTTTAAGACACAACTATATCAATATTTGGAGCTCTTCTCCCTTCCTTTTGCCCCTATAAACATCAGTGCATCCAAAGCTCTGCTTAGTATCCGACCCTACACCATCTCACTCAGCCATCACATCCGCCATGCCTGCAAACCTAATCCCAAATTACTCTCATCAGACTCTAAAAAGCTTTGAATGCACAAAAGAGGCCCTTGCCTTTAAAACCCTTTACGGCTTCATCTCCCTCTATGTTTGTAACCTTTTCTTGCCTCACAGTTGTCCAAAAACTTTGTTGCATTCCTCAGATTCTGGTTTACACATTCCCCTGACAAGCTCCCTCAAGTTGTTTCTCTACGATATTCTGCAAAGGCTCCCCTCAAATCATTCCTTCATTCTGGAAACTATAGTCTACCAAGCTGTTAGTCCTTCCTCCGACTTCTATCTATTTTAATCTGATTACATATTAGTCTGATTTTAGTCTAAAACACTTTTCCTCTGTGTTTAAGGCTTCCCTATAACTATAATTGTTGTTGAACAACTTTCAGCACGCCAGAGATCGAGAATTTGAGAAATAAACTTAAAAAATACAGAACCGCGGAAGTGTTTTACTTGTGAACTCGCTAAAATCTTTCACCAAAATCAGGCCTTGTTAATTATTGCACGTAATTACTTCAGAGACAGTACCTATGTTAATGTATTTTATATACGAACGTAAACAGTTTTAGCACTAAACGACATAGAGACGGGTTAAACAAATCATTTTAACAAATAGAAAAAAATACCAGCAAACTCTAACGTTTAGCTTCCTAATGTTTAGTTGGTTTTGAAATAACTGATTTCCTACTTACGATCTCAAGATTAATCCGTGCATTTTAAAAGCAGCGGAAACTTTGTTCTTCACTTTAGTCGCCATCCTGCAGTTTTGGCGCCAAAGTGCGGCTTCGTCACAAAGCAGAGTGACTGGATTCTGAGAATAGCGCCAACCCGCTCATTCATAAAAACAGCAGCTACCTCTCAGGCACATACCGCCTACAACAGCAACCACCTCAATAGACAGATATTATAATCATCACCACCTCGGTAGGTACTTACTGAGGGTTTTAAATCAGTACATTGCATCTGTATTCACATACAGAAGGACGATGCAGGTGTAGAAATCAGAGAGAGGGACTGTGATACACTTGAACAAATTAGCACTGAGAGAGAGGAGATGTTAGCAGTTTTACCAGGCTTGACAGTGGATAAAACCCCAGACCCAAATGAGATATGGGGTCTAGGCCCGAAACGTCAGCTTTCCTGCTCCTCTGATGCTGCTTGGCCTGCTGTGTTCATCCAGCTCTACACCTTGTTATCTGAGATATGTCCCAGGCTTCTGTGGGAGGCAAAGGAGGAGATTGCAGGGGCCCTGACATTAATTCTCTGGCCACAGGAGGGGTGCCAGAGGATTGGTGGAAAGCTAATATGGTACCATTATTCAAGATGGGTGATAAGGATAAATCAGGTAACTACAGACTAGTTTAATATTTGTGGTAGTGAAATTATTGGAAATGAATTCTGACGGATATAATTAAATTTCACCTGGAGAGACAAGGATTAATCAAGGATAATCATATAGTTATAGAGTCATAGGGATGTGCAGCACAGAAACGGACCCTTCAGTCCAACTCATCCATGTTGACCAGATATCCTAAATAAATCTAGTCCCATTTGCCAGCATTTGGTCCATATCCCTCGAAACCTTTCCTATTCACATACCCATACAGATGGTTTTTAAATGTTGTAATTGTAGCAGCCTCCACCACTTCCTCTGGCAGCTCATTCCATACGCACAAAACCCTCTGCGTAAAAAGTTGCCCCTCAGCACCTCACATTTATCTAAATTAAACTCCATCTGCCACTCCTCAGCCCATTGGCCCCAAGGTCCCATTGTACACTGAGGTTACCTTCTTTGCTGTCCGCTACATCTCCAACTTTGATGTCATCTGCAAACTTACTAACCATACTTCCAATGTCCACATCCAAATCATTTACATAAATAATGAAAAGCAATGGACCCAGCACCAATCCTTGTGGCACATCGCTGGTCACAGGTTTCTAGTCTGAAAAGCAATCCTTCACCACCAAACTCTGTCTTCTACCTTCGAGCCAGTTCTGTATTCAAATGGATAGTTCTCCCTGTAACTTTGCTAACCAGTCTACCATGATGAGTCTTGTCAAATGCCTTACTGTAGTCCATATAGATCACATCCACTGCTCTGCCCTCATCAATCTTCTTCTTTACTTCAAAAAACTCAATCAAGTTAGTGAGACACAATTTCTCATGCACAAAGCGGTGATTATCCCTAATCAGCCCTTGCCCTTCCAAATACATGTAAATCCTGTCTTTCAGGATTCCCTCCAACAACTTGCCCACCATCAATGTCAGGCCCACCAGTCTATCGTTCCCTGGCTTTTCCTTAAACCTTTCTTAAATGGTGGCACAACGTTAGCCAATCTCCAGTCTTCCGGCACCTCACCTGTGGCTATCGATGATACAAATATCTCAGCGAGGGGCCCAGCAATCACTTCCCTAGTTTCCCACAGAGTTCTAGGGTACATCTGATCAGTCCCAGGTATTTATTCACCTTTATGCGTTATAAGCCATCCAGCACCTCCACCTCTGTAATATGGACATTTTTCAAGATGTCACTATTTATTTCCCCATGTTTTATATCTTCCATATCCTTCTCCACAGTTAACATTGATGCAAAATACTCATATGTTGTCTCTTCCATCTCCTGCCGTTCTATACAAAGGAGGCTTTGCTGATCTTTAACAGGCCCTATTCTCCCCCTAGTTACCCTTTTACCCTTAATGTATTTGTAGAATCCCTTTGGATTTTCCTTAACCATATTTGCTAAAGCTATCTCATGTCCCCTCAGAATGGTTTTGCACAGGGAAAATTATGTCTAACAAGTTTGATTGAATTTCTGAGGAGGTGCCTAAGTGTTGATGAAGGTAGTGCCATAAATATAGTCTATGTGGACTTCAGGAAGGATTTTGACAAGGTTTCCATGTGGCAGACTGGTTAAGAAGCTAAGAGCCTTTTGGATCCAGGGCAAAATTGGCCTTGTAGCAGTGAGTAGAGGGTGATGGTTGAAGGGTATTTATGTAGCTGGAAGCCTATGTACAGTGGTGTACCACAGAGTTTAGTGCTGGATCTCTTGCTGTTTATGTACTTTAATGGCCTAGACACGAATATAGGAAAAGTAAGTTTGCAGATGACATGAAAATTGATGGTGTGGTAAAGAGCAAAGATGAAAGCTTTAGATTACAGCTTGATATAGACGGGTTGTTCAGATGGCTGAACTGTGGTAAATAGACTTTATTGATTGATTTGATTCATTTTAATACCATGTGTGCCAAAATGCAGTGAAAATCGTTGTTTATGAGCAGTACAGGCAGATCACAGCAAGCAAAGCAAGTACAGATCAAAAAGACTTAGAGGTATACAGGTTACTTTGCAGGTTACATTATTTGAGGGTAGAGTCCATTTAACAGTTTGATAACGACCAGAAAGAAGATGTTCCTGAACCTGCTTGTGCATGTGTTGAGGCTTCTGTATCTTCTGCCTGATGGAACAGGTTGTAGGAGGTCATTACCAGGGTGTGATTTGTGTTTGATGATGTTGGCCTGAAAGGTTTGAGGGGATGCATTCTGAGAGGACTAACAAGGCAAGGGAGACACATTGAATTGTAGGACCCTAGGAAGTACAGAGGATAAGAGGGACTTTGAAGTGCATGTCCATAGATCCTTGAAGGCAGCAGGACAAATAGATAAAGTGCTGAAGAAGGCATGTGGAGTACAGAGTTTGTTAGTTTGTAGGAGTAGCTGGAATGCAGTGTGCAGTTATGGTGTCACACTATAGGAACAATGATATTGCACTGGAGAAGATGCAGAATAGATTCACCAGAATGTTGCCTGGGCTTGAGTAATTCAGCTATGAACAGAGACTAGATAGGTTGAGACAAAAGCAAAAATTGCTGGAGAACTGTTCTGAAGAATTAGTTTTGTTTTAGATTAACAGCATCTAAAGCTCTTTGCTTTGTTCTAGATAGGCCAGGGTTGTTTTCCTTAGAGCAGAGAAGTCTGAGGGTGAATCTGATTGAAGCATGCAAAGTACTGAGGGGTATAGGCAGGGTAAATAGGGAGAAATGTTTCCTGTGAGTAGACAGATTAATAACCAGGTGCATAGTTTTAAGGTAAGAGAGCAGGAGGTTTCAAGGGGATTTGAAGTAAAATGTTTTCACCCAGAGGATTGTGAGTATCTGGAACTCACTGCCTAAAAGGGTGATCAAGGCAATAGCCCTCAAAACATTTATGAAATATTTAGATGAACACATGAAATACTATAGCATACAAGGCTATAGGCCAAGTGCTGTAAAATGGGATTATAATAAATGGATGTTAATGACCGGTGTGAACATGATGGACTGAACAGCCTCCTTCCATGCAATAAAAACTCTGATTCACCGTCCACTGTAGCAGTAGCTACTGTGGCAGACAGGCAGTCACTGTCTGCAGCAACAACTAGCCCTACAAACAGAGAGATGGCATCTGCAGCAGCAACTACATTGACCTTACCTGAGAGGCTTCGAAAAACCCTCTTACACGAAAAATAAGGAGGAGCATATCAATGTCCTTCATTTCTCTAAGATCAAGACTACTTACCCAATTAGGACTCGTTCCCCAGAAGTATGGGGTTTGATAGCATTGCACAGGGAGAAAATTTTATGGGAGGCCTGGAGCTTTTGGGAAAGGGCTGATATTAGTATCCACCCACAAGGGAAAATCTTATGACTTCTGTGCGATTCTGAGGGAAGGCTGCTCTGTTGGAGATCTTGATTTTCTTGAAGAGACATTTTGTCAAGGCTCCACTTATATCTGGGAGATTTGTTATTTTTGCTCATTTAGTATATTATGCTTTGGTCACCATTCAGACAATGCTGGAGAAAATGTATTTTTCACATTTGGGATGTGAAGTGGTCACTATTGGCATTTGTGTTAGAACATAAGAACTAGGAGCAGGAATAGGTCATCCGGCCCCTGGAGCCTGCCCCGCCATTTAATAAGATCATGGCTGATCTTTTTGAGACTCTGCTCCACTTACCCGCCAGCTCACTATAACCCTTAATTCCTTTACTGTTCAAAAATTTATCTAGCCTTGCCTTAAAAACATTCAGCAAGGTAGCTTCAACCGCTTCAATGGGCAGGGAATTCCACAGATTCACAACCCTTTGGGTGAAGAAGTTCCTCCTGACCTCAGTCCTACATCTGCTTCCCTTTATTTTGAGGCTATGCCCCCTTGTCCTAGTTTCACCTGCTAGTGGAAACAACCTCCCTGCCTCCACCTTATCTATTCCCTTCATAATCTTATATGTTTCTATAAGATCTCCCCTCATTCTTCTGAATTCCAATGAGTATAATCCCAGCCTACTCAGTCTCTCCTCATAATCCAACCCTGCCAACTCTGGAATCAACTAAGTGAATCTCCTCTGCACCCCCTCCAGTGCTAGTATATCCCTTCTGAAGTAAGGAGACCAAAACTGGACACAGTACTCCAGGAGTGGCCTCACCAGGACCCTATACAGCTGCAGCATAGCCTCCCTGTTTTTAAACTCCATCCCTCGAGCAATGGCAGACAAAATTCCATTTGCTTTTTTAATTACCTGCTGCACCTGCAATCCTACTTTTAGCAATTCATGCACAAGGACACACAAGTCCCACTGCACAGCAGCATGTTGCAATTTTTTACCATTTAAAACATCGTCCATTTTGCTGTTATTCCTACCAAAATGGATGACCTCACAGTTATCAACATTGTACTCCATCTGCCAGACCTTTGCCCACTCACTTAGACTATCTATAGGCCTCTGCA